GTCCCTCACCTCTCAGAGCTATACCTGTGCCTGTTAGTGCCCACATCATGGAGGACACAATTAATACCAGTGACCTTCAAGCAATGATCAACGCGGCGGTAGCTGCGTCTTTGGAGAAGGCGTTAGCAAAAGCGGCTCCTGCCCCCGCTGAATCTAACGCACTGTCTAACAAGCCACACCAGGCTCACGAAGACTCAGATGAGTCGGATGACTCCACTAGAGAAAAGAAGCGCCCGGCGAAGCGCCACTGGAAGGGCGAAGGTTCCAAGAGAGCCGCCTTCAAAGGCAAGGCCCCTATGAAGCGCAATAAACGCACTAATCAGATACCTCCCGTGTACGCTGGGGAGGCCTCCTCGGATGAGGAGCATGACGTGCCCCACTCTCTCTCCATTCTGGATGAGTGGCAGGCTGAAACCTCCGACTCTGACGAAGGTGGTTGGGGCCCCAACGCCTACGTCACTGAGACATTTCTGGGTGAGCCCCAGCAAAAAAGAGATGCGGAACCCCCCGCCACGGCCACGCAGGAGCAGGAGATATTCCTGGACTCCACGGGCCAGCGAATGTTTGATCCCAGGAAGATTCGCCACACCCGCTCGGGTGAGTGGGCCCCACCTGATCATCTCCTCCGCTTCATGCATTTTTGGATCAGAAAACCTTTGGAAAAACATATCCGTAAGAGGATGCGGGCAGAGTGCCCGAGACCTACCCTGCCAGATAAAGTGGCCTATACGCCGGAATTTGATCAGTTTATGCTGACCTTTATGGAACAAGGGGGCCGCGACCCACGGAGGGGGATTGAGAAGAGTTTTGATGGACTGATGAACAGCAAGGCTTTTGGAGATACTTTTATAACCCTTTCCAGCTTTATGCAAGTAAACAATTCTTAATCGTAGGTCTTCTGAGAGCTCTTTTGTGCGAGGCATCATTCACATCAGGCAATGCTTCTTGTGAAAAGCAAACCCAAAACTGGTGTGTGTTTTCTATAGGGCAGGGCGGCTGTAACCAACACCTCCAATCTCATCTCATTGATTGGACTCCAGTTGGCTGACATCTCACTCCAATTAGCTCTTGGAGATGTCATTAGTTTAGGGGTTCACATACTTTTTCCACCTGCACTGTGAATGTTTACATGGTGAGTTCAATAAAACCATGGCAACATTTCATTCTTTGTGTGTTATGAGTTTAAGCAGACTGTGATTGTCTGTTGTTGTGACTTAGATGATGATCAGATCACATTTTATGACCAATTTGTGCAGAAATCCATATTATTCCAAAGGGTTCACATACTTTTTCTTGCAACTGTATATATAACAGCATGCCAAAATTTGAAAAGTTTTAGGGTTAAAACAGATATCTGTGTGTCCTCTTGCCTCGAGGTGCTGTGGAGGTAAGTTTTACTTAACTCATACTGCCATCTTTGGTTCCTGGCGCTTAAGTTTTAAAGGATCACAATAGGGTCAGGAACACAAACATGTATTCCTGACCCTATAGTGTTAAAACCACCATCTAGCCCCCCTGGGCCCCTAATGCCTCCATAAATATAGCAAACTGTTACTGTATTCAAGCCTGAAGCTGTAGATCTGCATGCTGTTTGCCTCAAAAACAAAACAAAAAACAAGCAGTCTGCTGACATCATCAGAAGTAGTAGCCTGATCCAACCACAATGCTTCTCCATAGGATTGGCTGAGACTGACAAATAGGCAGATCAGGGGCAGAGCCAGCATGATTCAAAGAGCCCTCATAGAGAGGAATTGAATCAATGCATCTCTATGAGGAAAGTTCAGTGTCTGCATGCAGAGGTAGGAGGTACTGAATGTTTGGATGCATTTTAGGCAGCCGTGACCCAGGAAGGATCTAAAACAGCCATCTGAAGAATGGCCAGTGGAGTTATCACTAGGCTGTAATGTAAACACTGCATTTTCTCTGAAAAGACCGTGTTTACAGCAAAAAGCCTGAAGGTAATGATTCTACTCACCAGAATAAATTCAATAAGCTGTAGTTGTTCTGGTGACTATAGTGTGCCTTTAATTGCCAGGAGCTGCAAGAGTACAGCTCGGAGTTTTATGGAGGATCCTGCAAGACCATCCAGTGACAGAGAATACATATACCAAAAAGCAGGTAACTACAATGCAAAAATAAAGAGAAAAACATAGGGCAATATTGCCGTGTCTAAAATAATATTAAAATTGGTAGAATGCACACTCACAAACCCAAATTGATTGAAGGCGTATCAAATGCATTGAAGAATATTCTTGTATCAGAATTGCAGGATATACGAGAGAAAATTAAGAAGTGATAGTGCAGAGATTCATATAACAATATATACCTTTAATAAATATTGCACTTACAAGATAAAAGCAATAAATGGGCACATCACAAAGAGGTGACTCGATGTAGGCAAACAGGAACTCCCTCAGAGATGATGTTGAGCTGATGGGGTCCTTTAAGCAGCACCAAATGATAAGGATAAAAAACTAAACATAAAACTCAAAAAACACTAACACTGAAGCCACAGCAGTCATTTGAGACAAAAGTTTTTGACAGAGCTCTGCTTTTTGTCAATTTCAGGCTCTACCATAAGATAAAATAGTTCCTACCTTGTCTTAGGGTATCTTTGGATTGCATTGGACTGTCAATGAAATTAAAAGTCTTAATCAGTATTTCACAAAGAATATATCCTTATGAAATACTTAAAAGTGACAGGTTTTAAACCCATAATGAATTCCTTGCAAATGCCAAGTATGTCTAGAGTTTTAGTTAATTTTTAGATTCTAAAAATTAACTGAAACCCTCGACATACTGGGCATTTTATCAGTCAGGGCTAATTAATGAATCTATTTTGATTTAGTTTTCTTAAATTGACCTTGATATGTAGAAATTATTAAAGGAACACTATAGCGTCAGGCATACAAACATGTACTCCTGACACTATCGTTCTAAAAACACATTTTAGGTCACCGGCCTCCCTTGCCTCTGTTTTAAAAAGTTAATTTACGCACCTTTTTTCCAGCGTCCAGGTGCGCGCCGCCTCCTCAGCTGAGATCACCAAATTTCCAATCCAGTGCTTTCCCATAGGAAAACATTAGAAGGCTATTACACATCCGTGGCAAAATGCTTTGTCAATAATCATCTTCTCAAGGATACATTGACTTAATGCATCTCTATACGGAGTGTTCAGCGCTTTCATGCAAAATGTGGAGATTCTGAACATCAGTGCACTGACCCAGGAAGCACCTCTAGTGGTCCTCTAAGTGACGTCCACTAGAGGTGTTCTTAGGTTGTAATGTAAACACAGCCTTTTCTACAAAAACGCAGTGTTCACATTAAAAGCCTGCAGGGACATGCTATAGAGACCAAAACCACTACATTAAGCTGTAGTTGTTCTGATGATTATAGTTTTCCTTTAAATGTAAAACTAAAGTTTCAACAATAAAAAAAAAAAGTTTTTTAATATTTTATTCCTATTTGATATTTGTTATAAATAAATTTAACCCCTTAAGGACGGTTCAGGACCGTCATCGGCATTTTTCCCTTGCCGACCGATGACGGTCCTGAACCGTCCTAACGGTCAGAGCTACTTACCTGATCGCCGTCGTTCCCCCGGCGGCGATCAGCGTGGCTCCGGTTGTGGGGAGACTGCCTGCAGCCCAGACAGTCTCCCCACGGCAGATTAGGACCCCTGTGGCCATGTGATCGCTTAACACAGCGATCACATGGTCACAATAGGTGTCCATAGTGTCTGCCTGCAGGGGGACTGCCTGTGCTGACAGGCAGTCTCCCTGCTAGTGTAAAATCAGTAAAAAAAATAAAGTTAATGTTAATTAAAAAAATAATAATAATTATATATGTGTATATATGATATATAGACATATATTATATTTATATAATATATGTCTATATATCATATATATATATAATGTCATACTAAGTGTATTTTTATATTAATATGTACTTATATTAATATAAAAATGCACTTATAATTAAATTACACACGTATATATATAATATATATAGTAACTATATATATTGTATATATATATTATTATAAAATATAAATAATAAGTAATTTAAATTAAATAAAATATTTTTAAAATAATAATAAAACATTTAAAATAAATTATATAGCTATATGAAATTTTATTCTAACTGTATTTTAAAATTAATATATATATATTTATATCAAAATACACTTAGAATGAATTTGTATATATATCTATGTATATAAAAATAAATAAAAATAATAAGAAATATACATACGTCCATATACAAAATTACATAAATAATTATATAAATATACACGTAGACTTCAAATATATAAATATGCATATATATTTAAATTCTACGTGCGTATTTATGTAATATTTTTACATAATTCAGTAATTTTATTGATTGCAATTTGAGGGACCTGCCTGCCAACCCAGGCCGAAATTCCAGAGAATTTAATTTGTTAGCACTGTATTTTACCCTGTAACGTTCTACGACACCCTAAAACCTGTACATGGGGGGTACTGTTTTACTCGGGAGACTTCGCTGAACACAAATATTAGTGATTCAAAACAGTAAAACATATCACAGCGATGATATTGTCAGTGAAAGTGACTTTTTTGCATTTTTCACACACAAACAGCACTTTTACTGATGATATAATTGTTGTGATACGTTTTCCAGTTTTTAAACACTAATATTTGTGTTCAGCGATGTCTCCCGAGTAAAACAGTACCCCCCATGTACAGGTTTTATAGCATTTTTGAAAGTTACAAGGTCAAATATATGGGTCAAATATTTTTACATTGAAAATGGCCAGGTTGGTTACGTTGCCTTTGAGAGCGTATGGTAGCCCAGGAATGAGAATTACCCCCATGATGGCATACCATTTGCAAAAGAAGACAACCCAAGGTATTGCAAATGGGGTATGTCCAGTCTTTTTTAGTAACCACTTGGTCACAAACACTGGCCAAAATTAGCGTTCAATTTAGTTTTTTTACTTTTTTCACACACAAACAAATATGAATGCTTACTTTGGCCAGTGTTTTCGACTAAGTGGCTACTAAAAAAGACTGGACATACCCCATATTGAATACCCTGGGTTGTCTACTTTAAAAAAAATATGTACATGTGGGGTGTTATTCAGAGATTTATGACAGATAATAGTGTTACAATGTCACTATTGATAAATTTTAAAAATGTATGTTTTGAAACCGCAATATCCTACTTGTACCTATAGCCCTATAACATGCAAAAAAAAGCAAAAAAGCACGTAAACACTAGGTATTTTTAAACTCAGGACAAAATTTTGAATCTATTTAGCAGTTTTTTTCATTCGCTTTTGTAGATGAGTAAAAGATTTTTCAAGTAAAAGTCAAAAAACATGTATTTTTTTCAATTTTTCATCATATTTTTTTATTTTTTTTAAATTAAAATACATGAGATTATATAAATAATGGTATGTAAAGAAAGCCCCTTTTGTCCTGAAAAAAACAATATATAATTTGTATGGGAACAGTAAATGAGAAAGCGGAAAATTACAGCCAAACACAAACACCACAAAAGTGTAAAAATATGCCTGGTCGCAAATGTACAACATCGCAAAAACAGTCCAGTCCTTAAGGGGTTAAAAAGTATCAAAGGACAGTCGTACTTCTTTAAAAACAATAAATAATAAGTGATGTCAATGTATAATGTGTCTGAAATTATGGTAGACTGAACGCCGGCAAAAGTGTTAAAAATGGCCTTTAGTGACAAACACGTCGCATCTCAAACCAGCTCTGGTCCTTAACCCCTTCAGACCGGAGGGCGTACTATTACGCCCTATTTTAGGCGGCTCTAAACGCCGCCAGGCGTAATAGTACGCCCTGCGGTCTTTCTTTACTTACCAGGTCGCCGGCGGTCCCACACCGGCGATCGCGGTTGGGGGGACTCCCAGGGAGCCCCCCCGCGGCAGATCTTCCCTCCTGCAGCCCCCCCAGCCATGTGAGAGTGAGGTCCTTGCGAGGACTTCACAATCACATGGCCGGGATAGCTGCCTCCTGCATTGCCAGCAGGGGGACTGCCTGTAATGACAGTTAGTCCCCCTGCTGGCTGGAAATCAAATAAATTAATGTTAAAACAAGTGTAAAAAAAAAAAAAAAAAAAAATATATATATATATATATATATATATATATATATATACTTAGATCATATATACCTATATATATATGATCTAAGTATATATATATATATATAATTTTTTTTTTACACTTGTTTTAACATTTATTTATTTGATCTAAGTATATATACACACATATACATACACACACATATACGGTCTAGGTGTATTTTACTATTAATATATATAATTATATATATAGTAATATCAAATTACACGTAGACAGATATTGATTAAATATATATATATAATTATTGTAATATATATATTTATATCTAAATTAAAAAAATAATTAAAAAAATATATAGATGTGTTATTTCGTTCTAACTGTATTGTGATATTAAAATATATATATATATATTTATATCAAAATACACGTAGAACGAAATAATATATATATCTATATACATAAATATATACGTATATATCACTATATATATATACCTATATATAAATAAAAATATTTTTAAAAAATTATATATATATACATATATATACACATACGTATATATATACATATGTTAATTCTACATATATATTTATGTAATATTTTTACATAATTAGGTATCTTAATTAATTACAATTAGCGGGACCTGCCTGACAACCTGGGCTACTATACAGTCCCAAAGGCAACATAACCAATCTGGCGAATTTCAATTTCAAATGTAACGTGCTATATTTGACCCTGTAACTTCCCAAAACGCCATAAAACCTGTACATAGGGGGTACTGTCTTACACGTGAGACTTTACTGAATACAAATATGTGTATTTTATTGCAGTAAAAGCAAACAGTATTATGACATTGACCGTTAAAATGTCATGTAGAACTAAAAAAATAAAAATAAATCTTATTTTCTTCCATTTTTTTTTCATATTAAATTATGTTTCATAGCTAAATATTTGATATTAAATGAAAGCCCTGTTTCCGCTGAATAAAATGATATATAATAAGGGTGGGTGCATTTAATATGAAAGAGGTGAATTACGGTTGGACAGACATGTAGCGCAAATGCCAGGTTTTGTTTACATTTTGTTTCGTTCACAACGTGTACATTTGGCTCAGTCCTTAAGGGGTTAATGGGTTTAAGACAAAATAAGCTTTAGAGCGGACAATTCACATGGCAAACCAAGTCCTCCACTGCGCATGCGCGTTTCTAGGCGGCGCAAGGTGTGCGTCTGCTGTCGTGCCTTGACCCGTGACGTCACGCCGCCGAGCGCGAACTTGACATGCGCGGCAGCTTTTGACCCTCCTGTCAGGTCTGCGCATGCGCGCTGGCAAAAAAGCCCTTACCAATCGGCAGAAGCGTCGGTGGCACGGAGGAGCCGGGGCAGCAATTAACCCACTTTTTTTTTGACGATCACCGGCTCGGATATGGATCACTGGCCAGCATGGGCGGAGCACGCTGTGTGATACGGGTCTGCTCTGAACTTTGATCTACCTGCGTGACGTAATATTTCCATGCCTGCCAGCGGGGGTCCCTGGAATATGCCGTCATTCTGACCGCTGCCGTGACGTCACGTGTGTCATAGTTGTGCTCTGCGTCCCTCTCTGTGGCAGCCCCCTCCCTCACCCCCCCGTCCCCTTTTTGCTCTGCGCCATGACAGCCCAGTGAGAGGGCTCAGGCCTGCGCCCGCCCAGCATGGATGAAGGGGAGTCTCAGGAGATCGGCTTCCTGAGGGACCTGTCGGTGGGGATGGACACTTTCATCCACCGCATTGACTCCACCGAGGTCATTTACCAGCCCCGCCGCAAGCGGGCCAAACTGGTGGGCAAGTACCTGATGGGGGACCTCCTGGGGGAAGGCTCCTATGGCAAAGTGAAGGAGATGCTGGACTCGGACACCCTCTGCCGCCGAGCTGTCAAAATCCTCAAGAAGAAGAAGTTGCGGAGGATCCCCAATGGGGAGGCTAATGTCAAGAAGTGAGTGTGGCTACAGGTGACCGCAGCATGGCTACTAATATGGGCCAGGCCGAGTGAAGAGCGAGTCAGCCAGAACGAGAGGGAGGGGGGGAGGGGGTTGTTATCACTTCTTAGACACTTTTGGCTGAATGCTTGTACGGCAACAGGATTACACATTCTAAAACAAGGTCTACTTTTGGGCCTCCTCTCCTTTAAACTATCTTCTATAGATTTGATTTAAAAAAACAAACCAAAAACCTCTGCTTCATTTTATGGGGATTGGTGCACATATATCTTCTGATACTAACAGTAAGAGTTAGCTTAAAATCTAGTATCAACAGGTTGCATACATATAGTTACACACATCACATGTTGCATTGGCTTGTTTTAAAGATATAAAAAATTGTCATTTGTATGACTCTTTGGAATGCACAGTACAATGTGTTCACAAACATGTATAATACACATTGTGTGTTATCCAAGAAGTAATGGAAAAAGGCAGCATGGCTGCTGATATGGGCCAGGCCGAGTGAAAAGGGTGTCAGCCAGAATATGTTATCACTTCTTCTCCAGGTTGGCTGAATGTTTGTGTTGAGTCAGGCAACATAATTACATATTGATTGTTCACTTTTAATCCGAGATGGTCAATTGGTTAATCTCTATAAACTGTAGATCTAAGGTCTACTTTCTTGCCTCCTCTCCCTTATATTGTCTTCTTAATGCACCCATCATTCAAGACTTAGGTGTGCTGAGCATACATAAACCTTGTATTACAGTACGAGTTACCTTAAAATCTAGTACCAACAGGTTGCATATAGTTACACACATCACACAACTTTATACAAACATAAAGCTTGCGCTGGCTTGTTTTTTAAAGATTTGAAAGAGTATAATTTGTATGACACCTTGGAATGCACAGTCCAGTGTGTACACAAACACACGTAATATACATTGTAAGTTGTCCACGAATGAATGGAAAAAGGCTTGGTAGTTACTTTTTAATATTGGTGTAAACAACATCTCATCCATTAAGGGTTGCAAATATATTTTTTATATATATATATATATATATATATATATATATATATATGTGTGTGTGTGTGTGTTTTTGTTTTTAGTTTTTGCAAGGATTGCAAATGGTTGTACTTTGTTTTTAAAATAAGTACAATATACTTGAGAGTCCAGCAAGTCTAGTAATACAGTGAACTAATTTGCAAGTGTATTTGATAAGTGCACATATTTGCAGTTTATTGATAAAAGCAATTGCAACTTACCCTTTATTCTATGCTGTTTTTCTTAATTACTTGCTTTTTATATATTGACCCTCATTTCATATATTCTATTGTATAAGCTCCCTGCAAGATAACGGTGTCCCTATCTTTCACCTCAATTTCTTTTCTGATCTTCTTTTGCCACAAGCAACCACACACAAGGAACATTATGCATTTTTTCTAGTTGTGACTTCAGCCCTCTTTTCTTGTTAGTCTTTTAGTACCCAACATCATCTAAAAATGCTCATCTTATATTTTTGTAGATTTTGCACTACTAGTACGTATCCTCTCTGTTTATTATGTGCATTACACACATGTTGGAACACTCAGACTTCAAAGCTTTTATATACCCATCTGCCAGCATCAATAAATTCTGTCTCTCACCACTGTATCTTACCTGTGATCAAATTGTTCTGCCATTTTTCTTCCATCCTTTCATAGGGAGATCCAGCTACTAAGACGCTTGCGACATCGGAATGTGATACAGTTGGTGGATGTGTTATGCAATGAGGAAAAGCAAAAGATATATCCTTTTCCCCATTTCTCCCCCTTTCTATATAATTGTGGCTCCACAGAGTGTTTGACAGAGTGTGCATATCTATTGTAAACATCCATGGTAAACTCCCTTGGGGTGTGTGGGGGGAAAGAGGGGTGTGTATGTGTATATATTTTATAGAACCAGAAAACTGTCATGGTTATTTACTTAAGTAAATTTAAAGGGACACTATAGTCACCACAACAACTACAGCTTATTGAATTTGTTCTGGTGAGTAGAATCATTACCTTCAGGCTTTTTGCTGTAAACACTGTCTTTTCAGAGAAAATGCAGTATTTACATTTACAGCCTAGTGATAACTTCACTGGCCACTCCTCAAATGGCTGTTAGAGATCCTTCCTGGGTCATGGCTGCCTAAAATGCATCCAAATATTGCGTGTCTCCTCCCTCTGCATGCAGACACTGAACTTTCCTCATAGAGATTCATTGATTCAATTCATCTCTATGATGAGATGCTGATTGGTCAGGGTTGTGTTTGAATTGTGCTGACTCTGCCCCTGATCTGTCTCCTTGTCAGTCTCAGCCAACCCAATGGAGAAGCATTGTGATTTGATCAGGCCACCACTTCTGATGATAATAGCAGACAGCTTGTTTTTCTGAGGCAAACCGCATACAGAGCTACAGCTTCAGGCCGGACAAGTAAGATTTTGCTATATTTATGGAGGCATGAGGGGCCCAAGGGGGCTAGATGGTTGTTTTATCACTATAGTGTCAGGAATACATGTTTGTGTTCCTGATCCTATAGTGTTCCTTTAAGGTGAAAGTAGTCAAACTGAAAGCATAGCTGACTTGGATACATGGCCATGCTGTAATGAAAATGACAATTAAAAGTAAATAGGGGAAAAAACACCATAGCAACAGAAGAAGGTTGAGGTATCATTGTAGCACGGCTCAAAATTTCAAGTGCTATGCTTTCTAACCAGGTGTAAATGTTACTTGCCACAAAAAAAACACCCTCACTGCAGGAGGATAGATGTACTTGAGGAAGGGCTGAGGGGAAAACTTTGACAGCCCAGAGTGCAAGGGGCTGTGATGCCCTTCTAAGGATGTAAAATGCACCTTTACTTAACTTTTCACTTTTCTTTCCCATATATAAGCATTAGGAGGCTAATGTGCCTTCACGGCAATCTCTGTGAGACAATCTGATAGAAATAGCAGAGTTTCAGAGGACATGCCTCTAGTGGCTGGCAGTGACTTTAAGGAAAACGAAAGCGATTTGAACAGGGAGAAAAAAAATACAGCATGGCTATTAGATCAATACCTTTTTAAATGTGCTTAAAAGAACACTCTCTAAGCATCAAAGCCATAAGTGTGCGTCAGTGGTTATGGTGCCATGAGTGCCCTAAGACATTGTTGCATTCCTACAGTTTAACTAATCAAATAAGGTGGATAAAGAGCTGCACTTACAAGGTTTGGAGCTACGAGATCGCTCTAGTTGGATGCGCTTGAGCTGTAAATCCCATTTTAAGACTGTGTTGTATCTCTTGATCCTGGTCATTGATCCAACGTATGCAATTAAAAACACTGTTTAGTGTAGTAAATCAGGATAACATGGGCCTGTCAAATTGAATAGAAGTGCACTCACATATGATGGAGCCTCCATAATGCCTCCCTTAAACAGCGTGAAGTGCTATAATCCCCACTCTAGGACCTATAGGTAGGATGGTGTCCTATCCATGATATATAGATCATATATAAATTAAGACAGATATATAATGCACACTGTATGTAATCTCAGTGCAATAAATAAAAAGGTACTTACTATGTATGGTTTTGCTCAATCCATAGAACTTCAGTGGTACGTTCTCTGCTGTGGAAAATAGTACATAAGATGTTTTAGGAATAAAACAAAATGGTCCAGGGATCTTGAGAATATTTTTTATTTAAATATAGTAAAAACAAGGTTTAATAGTAACCATAATGCGTTTCACAGGAGCATGGGGCATATTTGACGTGATATATACATTTTATTTAATTTTCATTTCTTTGTGTGCTCTTCTACACGAATAAGATTAGCAGAAACCATGTTGTGAGTGTCCTGATAAAATGTGCTTACAACCTAGAGTTATTTAAACAGTTGCATCGTCCTGCTTTCACGTTAAAACTATAGTTAAATTATAGGATGGAAGTGTAGCCTGTCTGGCTACACCAATCACTTGGCCCAAGGTTTTTCCATTAAGTGGTGCTTTCACCTTTTTATTGGTGTTCATAAACTGTCCCTTTCATCAAGTGTATATGATGATTTTGCTGTTATAGGGACTTTCACTACCTGGTTCCTGTGACGTGTTTTTTTGCATTTCTCAAAATTTTTGACCTTGTTTGACTTGGTATGTATGTGTTACATACAAGGGTAAGAACAATATTGGATAGCGGCCTGTTTACTTGGTTTCCAAGAATTTCACTTCCAGCTCAAAGAACAAATAATTACACCCCTGCACTTGGTTTTCTATTAATGGCCTTGCAAAGCAAGTGTGCTCCAAATAAAGATCTATTACGTGCAACAGTCTTATTTGTGACCTCCTTTTCTTTACCCATAATATTTGCTCCATTTTGCTGGTCTTGTCCTTTCTTCATTCTGGTAGCGTTTCATCTCCCCCACCTGTCCTTCCTAGTGTAAATCGGGTTTAACAAAGATACAGTTTCACATTGGCGTGCTTGTGTCTGAAAGGGGCACATAAACCAGAATGTCCCATTGTCAGCAGGCAGTCTTTTTACTCAAGCAATAAAATTGTAACTGCATCTTGGTATCCCCCAGCATTTGTCCCAGGTAGACCATGCATAATAGTGCTGCATTTCCACTCCTACACAGTTATTTACTAAACTGAACATTGTCAGGAATTCACAGTGAATTTGTAATTCAAGGTCCCTTTGCTTCTTTTGAATCAAATATAAAATTCACTTCATAATCCCCAAATTAATAATTTGAACTTAACTCTGTTATAGGCAGTTTTAGTGTATATACCATGCCCCTGTAGTGACACTGCTCAATTATATGTCATTTGGAAGCTAAATCACTTTGTTTATGCAGCATTAGACATACCTCCACTGGCTGTGACTCACACAGCCATGGACAAAAACAACAAACCAAGCAGATTTAAATTTCTCATTGATCTTACAAAACTGTGTATTCACTATACAAGTTTCTGATTTTATACGTTTTTTTAAAATCTACAGCTCTGTTAATTAAACTTTGATCACATGCAGCAAGGCATTAGAGTGTTACTTCAATTTTATAATGCCATAATACTGTCATTAAGCATCAGGGGAGATGTAGTTAACAACATTTGGAGTGCCAAAGGTTACGTAACTCTTGTTTGTACCGGTATGGCTTCTACAGTGGATGTGCACACACTTGATTCTTGTCTTAAATTTGGGTGTAGCATCCCAAGTTTGGATTTTGTGAGTATTTTTTCGTGTACTAAGTGACTGTTGTGTTTATTTGCTAAAAAGTAGAGCTGCAGCCATTTACATAATTTGTTGTGCACTAGCTCATGATTTCACTTAAAGGACTACTATAATCACCCATACTACTTAATGTCGATGACTTCAAGTAGTTTTAGTCCTGCAATGTAAAACATTGTAAAAATAAGTACTGCAGTGCTTAACACACCTCTAGTGGCAGCCACTAGATGGTGCTTCTGCTGCAATAACTGAATCAGACTTTTTATTATGTGACGTTCAAAGTCCTTGTGCATTGCAGTTTATTGGATGAATGCAGCACACACAGCGCATGCACTTTGCATCCCCCAGTGCGGTGGACTGGCAAAGGAGACTACCTGCAGGACAATGTCACTTTTTTCTTCTTCTTAATTTTAATTTAGAGGGGGCACTAGAAATAGGTCTTTCTATAATTGACAATATAGTATTTCTTTAATCCTGTTCTTTACAACAGAGTTTTGTAGCACCATATGATGTCAAGCTATCTAACCGTAAATAAACATTTTATATATTTATGCTGTAATTTAATATTGGTAAGACTATTATAGTATTAATTAAAAATATCTTAAAGGGAATATCTGTTAGAAAATTCATCTTCTTAATGCATCATTTTTATAGCTGCAAAACTTGCTTCTGCAGCTGTTGTGATGCACCCCCTTTTTGCACAGGAAAAATATGTACTCATTCTTGCTGGGCAGTGTCACACAAAAGAAGCATTGTAGACACAGGTAGCATAATATAACATATCAACTTTTATTCAAAACAGTTTAGCATGTCTTTTTGATGAAATCTAGGGATTATTCCTAGGGATAGTGGAGCAACCCATCTTGTATATTTGTTTCATTTCTAGAATTAATTCCATTTATAATCTATTTATTTTCCCCCTCTACGCAAGACAGACATGGTTATTTTAAAGTAATATACTTCCACTTCTAAAAGTTCAAATTTTTTTGTTTATTCATGCTATTTTTGGAGACAACCGGTGCCATTTACAAATTTTAAGTATTTTTGCGCATTACTTTATGCTATGTGTATTTTATACACACCTGTAGGTGCAAATTTGTTTATTGATCCTTATTTTAAATGCCTAATCCATGTATATTTGCCTTCCTTGACCTCAACTGTACGTATATGGTGATGGAGTATTGTGTATGCGGGATGCAAGAGATGCTGGACAGTGTACAGGAAAAACGTTTCCCTATTTATCAGGCGCATGGGTAAGTGCATCGTTATTTTTCCAGTTGATTTTTGTTTCTTGTGTTTTTGTGATATCCACAGCTTATTTGTCATATCAACATAAGGGTATGCAGACAGAGCATGCCAGGATTGCTTCTTTGGTATTTCTGTTATCAGTTAACAGAGCAGTTCAGCTCATATGATTAGAGGAACTTCCATACTGATGTTTTTAACCTGAGGAACATAACTATCACAAGATGCTAAATTTGTCACTTACCTTTAGTAGAGTACATCCTTCCCTGTAGTGTTTTGTATCCAAGCTATAAGCTGCCCTTCCCAGAGAGCAATGTACTCTTCAACACACCTGAGTTGGTGAGTGAGCGGGAGGAATTTCTAAGACTTTAAATGTTGGACTCCAATTGAGGGTTACTTCTATG